AGTGACTTACCTCCTGGAAACCAATGACCATTTATAAAGCTGCTGAAGGAACATCAACGATAAGTTATAAGAAACTACTGATAGACCTTATTTTCTGATTCAGAAATCTTGAAATTTTGAGCTAGTCTAACATTTCATTGTCAGCATTTCAAAGGGGCGTAATTGCTTTTGTAAACAATGGCTTCTGACGTCGATTTCTCGCAAATAAACGCTCACCCCTTCAAGTTAAAAATGCTAGCTAGTAGAGGAAACATTATTCTACCTGTTGGTGTAATTATATTTAATTCGCGAGAAATATATCAAGCATAACTTTTCAAAAGGACGTAAGTCACAAAAATAAACAAATCGGTATTTTGCATCTAACCGAATATAAAATACATGCTTTTCCTACGAGTTAATGAAAACCAAGGTTTGAAATTGTAATGCATTATGGAAAATATATTCAATGAACCTTCTTTCTTTGTTTTTAAAATGGTGTTGATACACCCTTGAGAGTCCGCTTTGAGAAGCGTCCGAGAACGGTTGTGTGTTTTTGCTCCGCTGCGTGCTTTTTTTTTTTTTTTTTAGAGCTCGGGCTATCTTTGTGCTGCCGTGTAGTTTTTCGGTGCTCGCATTTGAATAGTTTTATGTCCCGGACGCGATAATTCTATTTAGAATGATTTGTGCTGATGTTTTTCCCCTGTTGCTTTGGTGCCTGGTGTGCTCTCGCTCCCTTTGTTGTCAGTGTGACTCGACCGCGCTGATCTATTATTAGGTTTTTGCGGTGTGCATTGCTTTTGTGCACAGAGTGACATGAAGAAGAAAAGTGATATTTAGTTATTGTGTGTTTGGATTCGCTGGAGGAGGAATTGTTTAAAAATTGAGAAAATTAAGCATCGAGAATGCGCTCCCGGATGTATTGATTTGGTGAGTACGTTCCAGTTGAAGATTGTTCTCTCTAAATATCCCTTTTTTGAATACGTTTCATCAATCAAACATTATTATATGTTGGGTTTGGGGGGGGGGGGCAGCCTAAGGGTTTCAATGGATTTGTAGACTGGACAAGTGTTCGTGGATTTGCCAGTCCCTTGTCACGTGTTGATAGACGTACATCTTGTCGTTTGTCTTCCAAAGGTCTTCAATGAAGTTGATTCACCCAGCTGCAACAAACCATCAGGCAGAACTTTACAACCAGTGAAGTATCTGCAGTCATATGTAATCCTTGCACTGATGGTGGGTTCTATTCACATCACATGTTCCCCTATAAAAAAGTGAATTTGTGTCGCATATATTATAATCTCATCTGATTCTGGATTTTACAGTCAGCTTCACAGGTGTCAACCTCCTGCCCAGGAATAAGGAAAACTTCGTTAAAGTCTCTTATTGTGTTTCCCTTCCGACTGGGGGACTTGTAGACTTCGGGGCAAACTTTCTTTGACGGTGGTGGATTATTCCCTTCGTTCGCCTCCGTATCCGAAACTGGCTACATCTGTTCCAATTCTGCTTCAGCCTCCAAGCGAGTCTTGAACTCTCTTTTTTTCACTCAATTGATACGTTCCCACATTGGGTTTGACATGGAGAACTCGTCTTGAGAGAGTTTCGCTACCGCGTTTTTTTTTTTTTTTTTTTTTTTTTCCGGCCAGTGTAGGATTCCAGCTTCTTTCCAACCAGAAAGAATTACGGTTAGGCATGTTTCGCATCTTTCAATTGTTTGTACCACTTTAAATGGCATTTTTTCCGCACTTGAACTTGGACGACACTAGCTGACTCCCTTCCGAAACATTTTGAACTGTCACTTTTCTCCAGGCAACTTTGTCATCATAAAACTGAACGGTACCAAGTCAAGTCAAAATGGATAATAAATAAACAATAAGGTATTCAAATTTGCTTTATAAATGCTATAATAAACCATTGTGCAGCGATGATCGAGACGTTTCCGTCGGATAAGATTATTTTGCGGCCGAGTGTCTAGGAAGCTATGGAAACCGAAATGGCTCTTGATTTTGTTTTATGCCCTTATAGTATAAACCACCATCGCACTTTGTGAGTTGCCCCAATAGAACCCTTGCTTTTGGTTTGAATCAGTACAAATTCGTTCTATTATATAAAAAAAAAAGAAGTATACATATTCATTTTCTTCCGAACTAAATAAACCACCATCACACTTTGTGAGTGGCCCCAACAGTATCCTTGCCGTTGGTCTAAATCGGGTCAAATCGGTTCTAATAATTATTTTATATTCAATCAAGTAAACCACCATCACACTTTGTGAGTGGCCCCAACAGCATCCTTGCTGTTGGTTTAAATCGGTTCAAACCGCTTATAATTAATTATTTTGGTCATTGATAAAATAAAATAAACCATCATCACACTTTGTGAGGGGCCCCAACAGTATCCTTATTGTTGGTTTAAATCGGTATACACACATCTAATAATGATCTACATCTCTAGACAGCCGGCTGTTTAGAGCATAAATCGAAAACACTTATAAATAACTACACAAAACAAAAGATCGCATCACTTATCAAGGTGAATCCTGATCCAACGAACCTAACCCACTAACAAAACCTCCTTCCTGTGACTTTTGTGGGATGCAGAGGTAAACACGGTCCCAAAACAACAAAAGTCACACACTAACATTCCTTCCCTCTCCCACCTGATTGCAAGGACGTGGCCGGTGACGTTATTGATCTTTAAAGGTAGGAGTCACTGGAACATGTACACTGAGAATGGCAGGTTACTACCAAGCCCCATTCAGTTGATTCTTTGTACAATTTCACTGGTTCAGATCAATCACGGAGTGCAACTATCGATACGTGCAGTCAGACTAAGCTAAGCTAAGCTAAGCTAAAATGGTGTTGATACACCCTTTTATTGTCAACATGACTTAACTGTTAAAATTTGATGATAACACAAAAACTGCAGTTACGCTCACAGTGAAGCGTCGTATGTGAAAAAACAAAGCAACCACTATCAATCAGCAAATGCGTCAAGTTTGTATGTTTGTATTTCCGGGAGCAACATGTTTATTATTTCAAAAGTATTCTAATAAAATTGCATTTAAATATTGAACTTCACATACCAATCTGACTAGCGCTTTCTTAATACTAAAAACACAAAACGTATAACATGTGACAGCAGATAATGCAGTGACCCTCTCATCTCCGCTTTTAACATCGATTATTTCACAACTCTGGGTAGTTATGTTAATAAACCAACCAACCGACAATTCCTCAATGCTTTTCGAGCTGCCGACGTATCTTCACTGCAAAACAAAAACCGGTGTATCTGATTTGACGTATGTGAAAACCCTTCTGTCAAATAGACGAATCATGCAGGGTGTATGTGAGTAGTACACAAGTAAAAGGCACAGACAAACAGACGTAAATCTTCATTGTGTATCTTCGTTCACGCATTTAACGGTTGATTTGAATATAATCAGTTCCGCGAACTACTCACCGCAGCGCTGGCATCGGATCACTTTGACGTTTCTATACATTCTATAGAACTTTTATGCAATATTGTTTGCGAGTTAGCGAGCAAGCTTGTTTTCCGCGAGAAGCCTGAAAGATGTCGCTACTGAGGTCCTATGTTTTGAAATACTATGTTTTCAAGAAAAACTTTTTCAAAGAGTTACGTCTGTTTGTCTGTGTAAAAGGTGTATGATTTTGTTTTATCAAAAGTCTTGCCCTTGTTTGCAAAACTCGACATTTTTCACAATTCTCTTAAACGCTATCCCTTTATCCAACTAATAGCACAAACAGATTTTAAAAATAGCATTAACTTTTAAATAGCATTTAATAATCTCATATAGACATTGCTATCCAATGTTTCTAATTTCCTATCCAAAGTTACATACGTCCTTTTGAAAAGTTATGCTTGATATGGCTAAATCCATTGTTTACAAATGCAATTACGCCCCTTTGAAATGTTGGAACTGTTATCGAATATTTGCTCTGGAGAAAAATATTTTGTTAGACTTAAATAAAATGGATAGTTGAAGTAGGCTTCAAGTATTAGGCCTGCAACAGATTGCTTGTAAAATATGTTGGCCATATTGCCCCACTTTTCCCTACATCAATTTCAAGCAGTAAACGGGAAATTCGGCAGTACAATCATTTTTAACTTGACATTTTTCATTCAAGAAATGTTAAAAAATACCCATCAATACCATTTGAGAAACGGTACACTATAAGAGGATTTCCTCAGATCCATGGTAAATATAGGGGAAATGGGATAAAATAGGTCTCCTCCCATTATCAGCCGTCGCTGAAACCATCACCGTTCGATTTTTTTTGTGTGATTTTTTACTTAATAAATAAGCAAGTTTTTAAGGACCTCAAACAGCGGCATTTTTTGGTTCGAATAGGGGTAAGAGGAGCATAGTGACCATCCCGTGCAGCAGCTTGGACTTCCCGCCGTTCGGAACAAATTGGTTGGTGGTAGGATCAATATCATAATGATATTGAACCCACTGCCAGTTGATTTGTTTCATGCAACTAGAGATCCAGGGTCAAACTACGGGATGCTCACTATGCCCCTCCTCCCCCTATGCCCACTAGTTGGATTCAGACTAAGTGGATCTTATCCGCGCTAGACCAAATCTAAGATGCAAATTTTCGTAGTCGTACCAACTCAGTTCCTAATCTCAAAGACAAGATCGGATGATTTCAAGATTAAACTCCGATCCCTTCAAGGGAAGACTTAGTTAACTTTGATTGCTTACCCAACTAACTTTGGTTGATTCTGGGAGCTTAAAAATCCAAGAAGTTATCCCAGGATTTTTTCGAGTCAGCCTCCTGAAATTGGATGACTGAGGAAGTTCTTCGAACTTGCCAGTTGAGTTTGAGCCATTCTTCAAGCAATAGACGCACATTCTTCTTACTTCAGTTTTGATGGCCGCATCAACATCGTCTGACTTTCAATAGAATGCTTTTGCCTATTGTGATGAAATCCATTATTTTCGTCAAAACTGAACTTCAGGGAAGTTTTCTTTCGTACTGATTACAACACATCGTAGATTTTGTAAATTTCTACTATTCCGAAATATGTTCTCAAACTTTCAAGTCTTAATCTCAAAATCAGTCATTTCCGAACCAAATATCTGTAGACCTTCTTCACCCTATTGTTGCTAATACTGTCCAGCACCCAGAGTGGACTGACGCAGAACGATCCGCCGGCCGGAACGGTCGGTAAATCCTCCCGTGACGAAATAATCACATACTTCGCTTTTTGTGCATCGCCCGAAATCTTACCCCTACATGTGATGATCAGTTCCCGCAGTTGATCGTACGGCACTTCGCACTTTTCCGACACGTAGAACGCGCCACAGTCGGCAAACAGCTCCATCCGGTAGCGGGGACCGAACGCTTGCCGCTCGCTGCGGCATTGCTGCACGGCAGTGGAGAAATCCCGCATCTCGAACTGTTCCTCCGGTAGCCACCGACGGGTTTCGAACGATTGCCGGATCCATTCGTAAGAAACGATCCAGAGCCCGCGGGCTAGCGCCCGTAGGATATTGACCGTCCGGCGTGGTTCGAGACTGACCAGGTGGGTCGTCCGGTCGGTGACGTTGTTGGAAACGGTGAACCCTCCCAGCTTGGTGACGGCCTACATAGTGGATGAGAAAACAGTTGGGGGTTTTTAATAATTTAAATTATGCGAATTTTAAGAAACATCCAATCTAAGCAAAATAGACAAGGTAGTGAAGTAGTGAATAGGTTGATGGCGTTGTCGTTAGTTGAATTTGCTTAATCATCTATTGGAACTTACCGCGTCAATTTCTGATGGGTCTTATTCTTTGCTTCATTATCTCGTCAGAAATTTACCTAGATTGGGATTTCTTTTCTCGCCACTATTGGTTCCCTAGCACTTGTGGATTTTTACGTGAAATATTTTTTTTATTTAAATAACTCAATAGCCTACAAAAGTATGAAACAATTCAAGCGTTTTATACGCGTTGAATTCACACAACTCTGTTTGAGAAGTTTGTGATTGTCATTTAAAACGGAACAAACAAAAGCGGATAGTGATACTGTAAAGAAAAACGTTAAAACTGGTTCTAAATTGGTTGCGACCGTACCTCTTTAACGAAGGCATGTTGCTCCGCGTGTAGATTGGTGGTGGCTAGATGGAACTGCGGTTTGGCCGTTTTCGCTTGCGTTGCCACCTGCTGTGAAGATGCCGTTGGCAGTCCGGCACCGAGTCCAAGTGCCTTCATCGTACGGGCTTGAGTTCCCATGACGGGTCGCGCTGTAACCGGTTTGTTGGCAATCGGTGGATTGAAGAACATCGAACTGCGACGGGAGGCAGCCGTGCTGACGGTTTTTGCGGATTTTGGAGTCACCGGAGCCGGAGCAAGGGAACGATGTTTTGGTAGGACTGGAGTTGTGAAGGATACAACCGTCTTGGGATGTTTGGTTGGATTCTCTGATAAGGCGATTGGGTCCGAGTCTTGACTGCCGTTGTCGGTGGAAGGTGGTGGCGTTTCGGGGATCGAAGGTTGGGCGTTGAAGAGCTTACGCTTGCGGGAGATGATTGTGGTAGGATTTGTGGCCGTAGTTTCCCGGAGGTCGGCCGACGTCTTGAACTTGACGGTTTTCTCCGTCGATTTGGACTGCTTTCGGTAGAAGGAATCCATCGAAGTTTGGCGTATAACGGATGATGGTCGAGGTGGAGGGGATTTTAGAACGGACATGCCGACTTCCGACTTGCTACCGTCCGATGTTTCGGGTTGTTTGGATTGCTTGTTGATCTGGGACAGTCGCTGGTCGATGATATCCATCGAGATGTCGAATATGGTTTTGCGACGCTCGCTCACCGGGGTTCTGGTAGAACTGAACGTCAAACTTGACTGGTACTCTTCGAGGAGAGTTTTGTTCCGCTTTTGGGCGGAAGAAGTCGGCGTGCCGATTGGAGCCAAAGTCCTCTGAGGAATTGTGTTTGGTTTTGGCGTGGCGAATATTGTTGTACGTCGACTATTGCTCGAAGAACTGTCCGGAGTTTCTGGAACGTCCATAGAAGCTGACGGAGTGTAGAGAGTTCTTCTTCTGCGGGCGGAACTTTCGTTCGCAGCAGGAGTGCTGTTTGTCGTTGCCGTAGAATTTGCAGCCGGATTGAACAAAGTTCTACGTCTCGTTATCACAGAAGTTTGGGCAGATGTTTTCTGCTGCTGATCGGACTGATCGTAGACTCCCGGTGTGTACAGAGTTCTTCTACGATTGGTACGGAAAGCTTCCAGATCTTTGTCATCCAATTCGGGGGTTTTAGTATTGTGTGACACGCTGCTATCATTCACGTTACCCGAGGTTGAAGGACATAAGGTCCTGCGGGAAGTGGCTGCCACTTCAATCCTGGCTGTCTTTTCAGTCTTTTCCGATGATTGCTCCATCCCACTCGGTGAGTAGATCGTATTCCGAACCTTCTGACTACCAGGAGGCGGAATGTTTTCTCGAATATTCTCACTGTTGGCCTTGCAAAGCTCCATCGCTTTGGGTGAACAGATAGTATCGGTCTTCCTAGGTGAAGTGTTTTCCTTTGCTACCGAGACAGACATGGTCTTTCTTTTGTTGCGTACCGGCTTTGGAACCGAAGCAGGAGACTCATTTTCCTCTTCCAAACTGGTAATCCTAGGCGTAAATAGCATCGTCTTCCTACGTTGTCTTGTCATATGATATGTTACACTAACATCCTTGCTAGCAATGGTGCTTCTTCTATTCTGCCCGGTAGGTGTTGTCTCCTTCTCAGCAGATCCATCGAACAACGACTTCCGGATGCTTCTTGTCGGAGCTTCCGGTGTTGCCTGCTCTGTCTCTTTCTCCCGTTCCGCCGAGGCTACAACAGGAGAATTTCGAAACTTTTCAAGCAACCTCATCGGCCCAGCCAGTAGTCTATCGAAGTCATCCTGTGGTTCAGGAGTATTTTCATTTTCCGCCTGGAACTCATTCAAAATTTGCTCCAACCCATCATCTTTGCGAAGCCGATGTAGCACTGGAAGTTTTGTCGGCGGTGAAATCGCAGAGTCGATTGAGTTGGCCGCTTTCAACGGAGGACGCCTCTTACCTCCGGATCCGATGGCTTCTTCGGCGCGTGGTTGCATGGACTTTGGACGCTGAAATGGACGGTAAATCAGAGAACTCAAAACAAAGCGCACAGCTTAGATTCTACCCACCCGAATCTTCTTGAACAGTCCCGGATTCTCGTAGCGAACCTTGTTGGAAATTGGAAAACTGTCTGGATTCATCAGACACATGTGCCGCTTGCAGGCTTCGATCCACAGAATCGACACCACCGGAATGTTCATCTTCTTTGCTTTCAGGTAGGTGGAGAGGAGGCCATCCTTGAAGATGACATGCGTTGTGTCCCTAAAACGAATCTCATTAGTTGAACGATCCGATCCCTTTCATTTCCCTCAAACTTACTTGTACAACTTCTCGTTGACCTTAGCCCCGAGCGTCGCCACGTGATCCTTGATACCATCGGAGCGATTGTCAGCCCCGGAACGAACTTCCACGTAGATACAGACCCCGGCCATGATTTCCTGGATCGTCTTGCAATTTGACATGGCTCGCTCCTCGGCTGTAATGATGTCCTGTTCCTCATGGGGCACATCAAATTGGCCGTAGGCTTCCCTCTTGGAGGGCGACTTCAGTGCCCGCAGTGCCCGAAGCCGCGTTGTGGCCGAAGGGCTTTGCAAATCTTTGTACAACCGAGCCAACCGGGGATTGTTTTGACAATCGATCAGCGCATTCGGTGGCGTGGTGCAACGAAGAAGCACTAAAAGCACCCAAATCAAGTTAGAACCATCATCCAAATAAAACCACATTGACCGAAAAAAGCATCTCACCGTCGGATTCGACTAGCTGTTCGCCGGTAAAGGGCGACATATCCGTCTCTATCGAAGAGCTGTAAAACGAGACATCCGACAACGCAGAATCGGAATCGTCCGCCTCCAGCAGTTGATCCACCGGGTTGGACAGGATCTTCATCATCAGATTCTCGTGCAGACCACGTCCTACGGCAACGGCGGCGCCATTGATGTTGGGTGTTTGCGTTTCGGACGCCGTTCCATTCACCGACATGGAAATGGAAGCATCCCCGGCTAACGAATAGCGACGCCGAGTACTGACGGATCCCGAGAATGATGCCGACCCCGGTGTCGTCGTCGTGACCCCGATCATCGATTTTCGGGATGGCTTAAAATCGGGCGTGAAGTTCAACATTACCCGATTCATCTTCGGAACGATTGCACTTTTCCACCCTTGTAGCTAAATCATGTAGCACTCACTGTTTTCTGACGATTTTAATCCTCAATTTAGCAATTAATTGCAACGAATTCACCGATTTTTCTGATCCAATCACTCGCAGCTGGTTTTGTATTGTGTTTGATTTTGATGATGGAGAAAATTAAATGCAATCGGCTGCCTCTATGACGATGATGCCAACGGTCGTTTTTGTCACCGATATGCAACGGGCGAAGTTTGCTCGGCGGGGGCTTTCAGGCGAAAAGCTCTATAGGTATGTGATAGCCAGAGGCCTCTGTAGGAACATGAATGCGAAAGCTTCGATCTTATTTAGAGAGGGGCTAGTCGATGCATTGGACATGTCAAGTTGAACATTGCATTAGGTCCTAAGTAACATTAAGTAATATTTCTCTTCAAACCTTGCTTCCCCGCATAAATGTAAACCATTGCATGACCTTACCACAAATGGTTAAAAGTTGTTAACAATCCCCGCTAAACTTTAACTAAATGGTTATGAAACTTTACATGAACGTTTGTGTAATTAAGTTTTAACCTTATGTATTTTTTTTTTTTTGGAAATGAACCTTATACTACAAACGAAGTGACAGACGACTTACTGGCGAAGAAATCCATTAAAATAATGTGGTTCACTGTAATAGAATTTTCTTGGAAGCTTGTGCCATCATCCACCAGATGGGTTAGTTTTTTTTGTTTTAATTTGAACAAAGTTGATTTTGTGTACAATGATTCTTTGACAGTGTGCAAAGAGTGCGTATCATTTTGTCATTTTTTTATGCATTTCAGTTTTGAGTAGAGTGAAAGAGATAGAACCAAAACATTCTAGTACATTCGGTTAAAATGCTAGTTCAATCTAGTAGTAGTGTTGCCATGTGGTACAATCCAGTAGTAGTGGTGTTGCCATGTGGTACACTGAAAAATTGCAATAGCAGGTTAGTCACCAAAGTTTTCGAGCCGCTCCGTCTGTCGTTTGTGCTTATACCATTCAACATAGTTGTTTTCTCCATACATTTTCGGAAATATAACTGTATTAGAACCTTTTTATTTATCGTTTGAGAATTTTTCTGGTAATGGTTATGGTAGTCAGTAAGGTGCATAGATGGTTTTTAACATCGATTAACTTTATGTGGAATATATCGCGAATAGATTGCCTGTAAATTTATGACTACCAATTTGAGATATATTCCACGTAAAGTTGAACGAAAATACAAAACTATCCATGGAACTTACTGACTACCATAACCATTACCATTAAAATTCTTAAACCATCAGTAAAAAAGGTTTCAAAATAGGTTTCTTTCCGAAAATGGTAAGGTTCATTTCCAAAAAAAAAAACATAATATTTAATAATAACACACAAACGTTCATGTAAAGTTCCATAACCATTTCAGTCAAAGTTTAGCAGGGATTATAATTTTTTTTTAAACCATTTTCGGTCGCGTTTATGCGGGTCAGCGGTGAGAAAACTTCTAAATTTTGTTCTATTTATTGTAATAGTGACATTATGTAGAAATAACATATGGTATAAATTGCACCATTATTGATATTTTTAATTAAAAGTGAGTTCGCCATACATTCTCAAGTCAATGTTCCCCAGCCCATACGATTGAGGCTCGTCCGCTGGGTGCTGTCAGAAGTAGTATGAAACACCTAATTGAGAAATCTAACTTAAACTCATGCGCGCCTGTTGACAAGAATAAGCACTATCCGACGAAGATGAGTTGACGGCCCTGGGAAATTTCGTTAATTTTTTAACAATATTGTGAAATTTTAATGTAATTCTAAAAATAGATTAACCTTGTACAAGATTCATAAAACTGTTTTGTTCTAGATTGTTCTTTACTAAAAAGTTACTTCGAGACTAGTAAATTCAGAAGTAAATTGATAAAACAATATGTTCTCTTAGAAGCTTGTGCCATCAGCCACTAGATGGGCTAGTATTTTTGTTTTGATTTGAACATAGTTGATTTTGTGTGCAATATGATCATTGACAGTGTGCAAAGAGTGTATCATTTTGTCATTTTTTTATGCATTACAGTTTAGAGTAGAGTGAAAGAGATAGAACCCGAGGGGGACGACTCTATCTACGATGCAGAAAATATTGTGTTCTGCTGTGGCTAGCTGCTCGCACGTTGAGTAGATAGAAAGAAGATTGATGACAATTCTGAAGATTTCCTGCAAAAAGATGATGCGCAATGCAAGTAGATGCGCGAAATGAAAGAAGATTTTTCGAAGATTAATTCACTAGTGTGAGATTTTTTGAGCATCTACAATTGAGATTTAGATGTGTAGAACCAAAACATTCTATTACATTTGGTGTTGCCAAGTGGTACAATCCATTAGTAGTGTTGCCATGTGGCACAATCCAGTAGTATACACTCAAAAAATTCCACACGTTTGATCGAAGTGTTTAAACACTTGATTTTTTAAATGCACAATAACATTTACTTTAAGTGTATTTCACCTTGGTTCAATGTGTTATACACGTTAATTTATAATGTTTCAAATTTTGAAATGTTGAAAATCTTTCACTATCTATTCAAGTGTATTGCACATTGAATCACACTACTGTTCAAAACAGATGGATTTAATGTGTTTTGCATTTCAATGCGATGTGAATTGCTTGCTCAGAAAGGTAAACATTGAAAACAAGAGTTGTGACTTTATCCTACCCTGATAAAAATTGTATGGTTAATTTGCTTAACGACGTGTTCTGGGTATCATCCAAACCATTTGTGGAATAGTTCAATGATTTGGGTTATCGTTCGTTTATGGTTATTTTTTATTAGGGATATCAACCCGCCTCATATATGAGAACAACCGTGGCACAGTGAGATCGAACGAAGACTCCAGCAGCATCACACCCCAACAGTCCATGATCGAATTCCAAATCAGACCCATTAAGAAGATATGTGAAAGCTCTGGCAGTTTTGTTTATATATTTGTCGATTCATTTTTAGAGTCGGTAAAGTAGAAGTCGATAAAGCAGAATATTGAACTATTATGTGTTAATCACCAAATGAGGCACATAGAATCCAAATGTGTCACAATTCAAATCCATAGTGTTCAGGCATGATTCATAGCATAAGATTCACACATGAAATGAATGTGTTTCACAATAAGCGCAAAATTAAGTGTGAGACACATGATGATGACGTGTGGAATTTTTTGAGTGGAGGTTCGAATTTTGACCCCTCCCTTTTCCTCTCCCACACGCTATACTGAATCTACCCAGTGACTGGGTAGATGGTACCCATTCTTGTATCCAGGAAGGAGTTGTCAAAATCTGGGTAAACTAATTTTGTTCTGACGAGAAGAATCTACCCAGATTCTGGGTAAATAGTTCTGAACGAAATTTTCCTAAAGTTAAAAATGGCGCAGGTATGAAAAGGAGATTGTTGCGCTGCCAGTAAAAGTTAAGATCCTCAAAATATATAAATCTGATGCTAAACAATGTACAGATATGTAACTGTTTCATGGCGAATGCTACCAGCAGCTTAAGTTAGTAAGTATATTGTTAGTTTCTGGACTTTGAACATTTTCCTTATGCTAGCTAGGTTATCGAGATATTATGTGACGCTGATATTTGTAACGGTATCGATTTTGGGGATTTTATAACTAGTTCGTTTATTTGGAAGGCTCATTTTTGGGTATTTCAATGTCGTGTTCCGTAGTTTATACTATTCCGACAATACGACATCAACAATCAATAACAGGCTAGAAGAGCTAGTCGGGTGAGATTATGTTTGATAGAGCTATTGCAGCGGTCATGTCATCTAATTTCTATTAAAATGGGTAAAGGTTACCCTTTTATCAAATTTCAAGATCTGAGTAACCGTTACCCAGTTTGTGTCGCAGGTACGTTTACCCAAATTTGGGTAAATGCATGTTTATCCATTTTTGGGTAGGTTCAGTTTTGACCGATTTGAGTAGATACTACCAAAATTTGGGTAGTTTTGAAATAGCGTGCAGAAACAGAAGAAAATGAAACAACATACGCCATCCAATTAGTGTCAAAAAGCACAGTGAAGGATACATTTATTCATACAAACAGGCCGCCATTACCGAGCATGGAAAGTTGGATACTAGCAACACTCAATACGAAACTAACGATTTTAAATTGGCTCACTACTTGACTAGCCTATTGGTCCCAAGCAAATGATTAACGTACCCCATTCTAGTCGAAATTCTAGTACTACGCAATGTTTGTTTTGATTCGCTTTGAAAGTTTGACAGATAAAATGAGGGGTTCATGGATTTTCCTATGTTTCGAGGGGTGAATCGATTAGCTTGGGACCGAAGAGAGTACCAGAGCTGAGCCAAAAAGTTGAGCACGTTATTTCGGAACCTTCTAGTCTTAGAGTTACCTCTATGTAAATACCACAATGTACTAAATAAAGCGAAGAAATGTTTTTCATCTAAAATTACTAAAATATTGTCAGTAATGAATGCAATACTTGTAGATCACTGACTGTGGGAACAATAATCAAGGCCGTAGCCAGGTTTCGAGCTAGGGAGGGGCAAAAAAAATACTATGGAAAATTTGGTCGAATGCCATTTCACCGAACGACATTTCCCCGAAAGCCTTTGTGTTGCTGAGTTTACGGGGGGCAGTCGACCCCTCCCCCCCCTGCCTTCTCTGGTTACGCCTATGACAATAATGTTTATTTACTTTGCTTGTTTGATACCCCGCTTGACAGTTCGATTGGTACTTCTGGCTTCACTCTTGGCGGGGCTCTTATTATAACATCGACTCTGGTCGGAACGTGTTTCTGGTAAAGTCATCTAAGGCTGTGAACCATTTGCCGAGTTTAATTTAACTCGTGGTTAAAAGCAGTGGCGTCGCGTCCACATGTGCAACCTGTGCACAACACAGGTGTAAATAATAATAAAAAAAATGGTCACAATATAGCTGTACTTCTTTACTCCAGACCACATGTGACCATGAATACATTATTTTATAGTGTGGCTCAATTAAATCTTCGACCTTGGTTTGCTTCAAAAAAGATTAAATTCAGTTCGGATGGTCTGCCTAATCTCTAATGCATTGATTTCTAAGCATGTCGATATCACTACCATGAAAAAACTCGGTAAATAATGCACCTAAAAGCGAGCTTTTTTGGGTGGTGGGTGGCAAGTTTGTGAATGGTCAA